TCATATGGTTCAAAAACAAGCAAAACGAGTCTACATCAAATCCAAGGTGCCACTGATTATAAAGCACACCATTCTTTTATATTTTTGTATTTATATTTTGTATTTCTTCTAGGAAAGAACAAAATGCTGCCAAGTAAACCTTGACAAGCCATCCTCAGAAGTACATCTCAACTTCAGCTATGCTCAAAAAGAAAAAGAGAACTTCTTGGATTCAGTCAAGTGAGGTAGATTGTCTAGTGATACACAGGTTGGAAAACTGAAAAGAAAAGCAAAAACATTATCACAGAAATGAGGATAGTAGTTACTTTGTGGAGAGAAGGCTGGTTTTGTAACCAAGGAAGGGCAAACAGGAGTGGAGAGAGTTCTGGAGAGCAGAAATGTTTAATTTCTTAACCTACAGAGGGGTTTATGATCATTCCTCAAACTGTGTGTACAGATTTTATACATTTTTCTGTATGCCTGCTGTATTCCGAAAGAAAGAAAGAAAGAAAGAAAGAAAGAAAGAAAGAAAGAAAGAAAGAAAGAAAGAAAAGAAGGAAAGAAAGGCCTAGAAAAGGTTTAAGAGAGATGGAGAAGCAGAAGAGCTGGGGTGGGGTGAGTGGGAAAGCTGTGAGGACAAAGACTCTGAGGCTGCAGAGTGACGCACAGATAAGAGAGGACAAGCCTAGAAGCAGGGAAACGAGTGAAGCAGAGAGGTTTGTCTTAGCCCGGGAAACAGGGAGTGGGGCCAGGTGGAAGCATCCCTGCTTTACTGGGTCTGGTAATCCCAGGGCACAGAACAATAAACAAAGCAAAGTTCCTGCTCTCAGGGAGTACAGTTTAGTGGCAGAACCAGACAATAAACAAATAAATAGAAACATTTCATAAGCTAGAGAAGGTGGCAGGAAGTAGTGTGTAAAGTCAAGTCGGGAATGTAGTAACCAAGCACCCAGGGCCACATTATGACTTTCTCAGGCCGTAACCCTTTTGCCTTTGTGGGACCCCATTCTGCATAAAAAGAATGCATAAATTAAAAAGTGTATTTTATAACTGCCTTGGCATAAAGGTGAATACAACCTGGATTAGATTCATTATTATATATTTATTGTTATTATATTCATTTTTAAAATTCTGATTTTAAGAGAAATTAAAATGAAAATATTTTTGAGGGCCCTAAACCCTGTGCCCACTATGCCTAATAGATCAGCTGGCCCCACAAGCATCAGCAACGGAAGGGTCAAAAGCAATGGAAAAAATTAAAAACAAACCGTAGATACAGAGAACAGGGTAGTGATTACCAGAGTGGGGGTGATTTAAATGGGTAAAGGAGATCAAACATGGGGACTGATGGAAACTAAATCTTTGGTGGTGAGCATGCTGTAGGGGATTCAGAAGTGGAAATATAATGCACACGTGAAATACATAATGTTATAAATCAGTGTTACCTAATTTTTAAAAAAAAGCAATGGAAAAAGTCAGAGAGGAATAAAGGGAGGGCCAGAATCTGAAATTAGCCTGACTCCTGGGATGAGGCAGACCACGTTGCTATAAATCAATTAGAATGTTTTCAGCTGCAAGTGATAGAGTCCTGACTCCAACTCACTAAACCAGTAACAGGACAGTCCAGAGGTATGGCAGGGTCCAGACTTAGCTGATTCAATGATGCAACAGTGTCCGCAGAGCTTCAGGTCCTTTCTAATTCTCCATTCTTCTGTCCACAAGATGGGCTTCATCGGAAGTCTGGTTCCCTTTATAGTCACCAAGTGATTATGAGCAGAAATGGAGGCTACATCCTCCTTGTTTATACCCAGTGAGATAGCCTAGGAATTTTAGTCCTTCCTTGCAGTCTGACTGAGCCAACTTCAGTCATGCGCCCGGCTAGACCAATAATTCCATGCAAGAATACCTTATCTGGCATATCAGGATCCGTTCCTGGAGCCAGGGCAATGGTGTGCACAGGAACAGCAGCAGGGAATACGAAATGTCTGATTACCCATTCCATAGCTCTGGAACCCCCTCAAGAGCTCAAGAGTTATAGAATGAGCTATCAGTATGCAAAAAAAAATTTTTACATATATGATATATTAAGTATATTAAGTATTTACTTCAAGTAGTAAAAAGTATTTACATCAAATATAAAAAGAGGTCCCCTGATGCAAGGGAGGATCTTCAAGGAGAATATCTGTGGAAGATGGTTTTTGGAGAAAGCTGTGCTGTGACCTTTAGCCCCAAACCTCTCCCCTTAAGGGGTGAAATGGAGGTGGGTAAGGATCTCCTACCTCAGTCCTTAATGAGTGGGGATTCCACAGGGCTTTGCAGAGAGCTTAATACAATCACCCCATATTTTGGTGGCACACAGTTGGAACTGATGCTTGGAAAAATCATAGGGCTCTCTGTTGGTGACATTATCAAATCATAGACCTCTGCACTGCAAAATCCAAAAGTCAACACTCAGGCTTCATCCTATTTTACAGATCAGCAGATCAAAATCAGCGAAACAGTTTCTTCACCTGACTTCCAATAGGCCAGCATCCCAGCTTTTCCTCCTATCTCCATGGCCACTCCCTCTCTTTTGCTGGCTTCTCCTAAACCTCTCATCTGCGCCGATGATGGAGAATCCCAGGGCTCAGTCCTTGGACCTCTTATTTTCTCTGCTGACACTCCTCTCTGCTTATTGACAATTTCCAAATGTTGATCTCCAGCCCAGAATTCTCTCCTGAACTTCAGACTCACTTTTCCACTGCCTTTGCAAAATCTCCACTTGGATGTCTGATAGATATCTCAACATGTCCAAAACCAAGTTCTTGATTTTCCCCTCTAAAACCTGCTCCTCTCTGACACCCCCATCTCAAGGAATGGCAACTCCATCCTTCCATTTGCTCAAGCAAAAAAGTTGGAATCATCCATGATTCCTCCCTTTGTCTGATTTCCTACATCCAACACATAGACAAAAGTATTTTTGGAGTTGTCTCTACTTTCAGAATATATCCAGCATAGATCACGTCTCACCACCTCCTCCATCATCCTTTTTCTGGATTACTTCCCAATTTCCTCCTTCCTTTCCTACCGAGATTATCACAAAAAGCTCCCCAGTTTTTTCCCAGGTCTAAGTGCCAGAATAAGCCTTTTTTATAATGGGAGCTGATGTCATTCTCCTACAAAGAACCCTCCAAGAGCTTTCCATCTCACTCAGAGCGGTAGCCAAAGTCCTAACAATGGCCTGTCAAACTCCACAGCACGTACCTACCCACCCGCAACAGACGCCGTGCTAACCTCCCCTCCCCTCACTCCCTTGACATCAGCTGTTCTTTCAACCTGCAATGCCTTTACTAAAGAAAACCACCCGGCCTGCTCCCTCGGCTCTTTCAGATATCTTCTCTGTGGGGCCTTTCCTGACCACCTTATTTGAAAATGCAACCACCACCTCCCCGCCTGGGTCCCTATCCCCTTCCCTGCTTTATCGTTCTTCAGAGCACTTATATAGAGCAGGCTTGTTTCTAAAGTACTCTATCATTTATTTGTCAGTCTGTTCCCACAAAAATATGAACTCTGTGAGGGCAAGGATATATTTTGCCTGGATTGTTAAATGCTGTTATCCCCAGCATCTAGAATAAGGCCTGACATATAGCAGGTGCTCAGTAAATATCAGGTGAGTGATTACATGAATGTTGCTTTCGGTATCTATTATTTGAATATGTTATAAGAAGAAAATGTTCTTTTATCCATTCAACACAGATGGCTTCAGAGCAAATTCAAGCCTAAGTACTATGCAAGGTGCTGGGTCAAGGGTGGTGAGCAAAGCTGAACTGACCGCCCGGCCGGGCTCATGGAGCTTAGTCTGGTGACGGGTGATCAACAGAAGGACAAAATGAGTGCTGAGTACTGGAAGGAAAGGACACAGGTCTACAAAAGCATGTAACAGAGACAGCTGGTCCTGCCTGGATGAGGTAAAGGCAGGTGGGAGAAAGAGATCTGAGGGACCAAGAAAGCCACAGGAGCCTCAAAACCTGGCTCCATCTTACATGGTTTCTGAAGGGCTCTACTCAGGACTGCCTCTGCCCAGTGTCAGAAGTGTAAGAGGCGTGCTACACACTACCTGATGATAATTCCCTGGGGACAAGCACCTGAGCCAAGAAAGGTCACACCTGTTACAGATAAGGGATAAAGGCCAGGTAGAATAGAGGTGTGGAGGTGAGGTGGAGGGAACTGTGTGGGTGAAGGAGGGAGGATGGCACATTCTGGAACAGAGAGCGTAAGGGGAAAGTGGTGGGAGAAGAGGCTGAAGAGGGAAAGCGGGGCAGGGCCTGGCAGACCGTCCAGAAGATTCCAACTTTATCCCAGAGGGAATCTAAAGCCATGCGGAGGGACTTGCTGGCTTTTGTTTTGTTTTGTTCCAGCTGCACTGTGGTGACAGGACTGGGCCTGGATTTGAAAGTATCACTGAAGCTGTTCTGTGAAGAAGACTTTACCTGAGGCCCTGAGCAGGCCCGGGAAGAGCAGGCAGGAGGCAGCAGAGTAGGCCAGGGGGGCAGGGCCAGCTGCTCGCCCCAGAGCAGAGGCCGGAAATGGAGAGAAGTCAACTGACTGAAGAGACTGCATTACCTCTGTGTTATGGGCTGCACTGTGTCCCCTCAAAATCCGCAAGCTGAAGCCTGAACCCTCAGTACCTCCGACTGTGACTGGATTTGGAGACAGAGTCTTTAAAGAGGTAATGAAGGTAAAATGATGTCACTTGGGTGGGCCCTAAACCGATTCGACTGGTGTCCTCATAAGAAGAGATTAGGACACGCGCGGAGAGGGAAGGTGGTGTGAAGACATCGGGAGAAGAAGGTCATCCCCAAGCCCAGGAGGGAGGACTCGAAAGGAACCAGAGCAGCTAAAGCTCTGATCTCAGCTTTCCAGCCTCCAGATCTGTGAAAAATAAATTTCTGAAGTTCAGGCTGCCCAGTCTGGTATTTGCTGTGGCAGTCCCAGCAAACTAATATACTGTGTGAAAAAAAAATTAAGGGAAGGATAAAACCTTTGAAAAACAAAAATATAATACTTCATTTATTCTAGCTGGAATCAGGATGATGTATGATGGTGAAGTTCAAGCAAAGGAGCCTTTCTTCAGTGTCCCCAGAGATGGCTTCTGCAACACAGTTGTATTGTCCCTAAAACGAGCAGTGAGAAATACAATATAGAATGTTAGATGCTTCTAACTTGTAAGACTTTTATAAGAATTTTGTCTTATGAGGAGGAAGCCAATTTACACTGAATTGGTTATCATTTTTTCTGTTTTCTAATGAGCTGCAATTCTGTATGCCTTAAAATTCAGTGAGCAGAAAAACCCATTTATTTCCCAATTCCGAGAGGATTTTAAAAATAATTTCTTGAAACTAGCCTACCAATGAGATTTTTCAAACAAGATACACCTTGTAACAAAATTGATAAAAAATATACATTACTAACATTTATTTTAAAATCATCACCCAAAGTGAAACGTGAAAAATGTCATTGCTAGGTATCGAATGCAAATGTCTAAAATTACATCATTATTGTCCATGGAGGCATTTCCTGAGTTATACATAGCAGGTATGTAGTGCTTTCACCCAAATCATTCAATGTATACACAATGAGCATTTGCATTTACTTTTAGCAATGTATGCTGGAAGGGAAAAATAAAATTCAAAAGGGCTTTCTTTGGTGTAAGTTTTCTATTTTTCTGCATTCTACAGAAAGAAGAAATAGCAGAATATCCAAAACCAAGAAGAAGTTTAAAAAAAAAATCTTAAACATCTTAATCTTGAATCAATATTTTTAGAAGTTATGAATTGCTTGTTTCAAATTCTTAACACATCTGTTACTGCAAAAGGTTTAGAAAGTACAAAATGACTTGAACAATACCTTAGAAAATCGTAGTCCCTTGAAGGAGAATCCTATTGTTGTATTCACAGTCTCTGCAAAAAAGTACAGAAAGTTACTGCACATTAGATGGTTTTGGTTTTTTTTTTTTTTTGGTAATAGTAGTATGGAGTGCAACTTTTACAGTTTTCCTCCTGACAGAAGCAGTCCCAAGCAAAAGTGTAGAGAAATAATGAGTCTTATACCCTGGCTATGACTGTCCTGTGGCTTCTTCCTCTGCCACCCTGAGCTCCTCTCAGTACCAGCTATATCTCATCCCTTAGAGGGTAAAAACTCAAGGCCCACTGGTCCCGGTGATGAATGAATGATGAACAAGCTAGTACTAATATGGTTCATCCCAAGTTATACATGTGTATGTTTACTGTTGTTGCCTCTTAGCAGGGAATGATAAAGAAAAATCTCCCTAAAGGTGGCGGAGAGATTTGGGAGGCAGCCAGGTTAGCAAAGCTTCCTCCAATCCCAGCACTGAGAAGCCTAGGTGCGTAGTCACTGCGAACATGCACGGCCGCGGGCCTGGCCCTGCAGAAGCCGTAAGGCACAGAATCAGACGTACAGGAAAAACTGCACTCCTCTGGCCCAGCTGGAAAACACAAAGGAGTGACCTTGCAGGGTACGGATAGAAAGGTAGAAATGTTTTGAGTCTCTAACAAAAGCAACAGTGACCAAAAATATTTTTTAAGTAAAATAGTCAAATGCAAAACAGTAATGGTTATTGTTCTTTGAATTGGCTAAGGAAAATCCTTAACAGTAAATGAATAGATTGTGTCTGCATGTGTGAGTTCTTTTCTCACAAATAAGCATTTATTTATTTGCTTCTGGGTATGTCCTTATTAGGGGAGCTAATATACTGAGATGTTGGTTCTTGACTTTAGTAAAGTGATCATATCTTCAAGATCTTATGATCTTTCATTCAAGGCCAATCCATTTCAAACTTCATAGCTCAACAAATATTTATTGAAGGCCTACTATGTACCAAGGACTGGGAAGACAAAGGTTAGTATAACACCATCCTTTCCCTCAAAGAGTTAAAGTCACTGGGGGTTTAGACATGCACAGAAACCATTCCAAATACAATGACGACGTGCAATGAAAGATGCAGTAAAGATAAAGGCAGGATAGCTTTTTTGTTGAGTAACGGCTCTGGGGCCAGAACTGCTTGGACTTCAACCCCAGCTCTTCCACTTACTCAGGGTGTGACTCTGTGTAAGTCACTTAATTTCTCTGTGCCTCAATAAAATGACAGTGGATAATAACACCTACCTCATAGGATTATTATGAGGGTGTTGACTGAAAAAAATACATAACCTAAAAGTTGAGAATTATGTTTTATTCAGCCAACATTCTGAGGACTTAAGCCTGGGAGACAGCCTCTCAGAGAGCTCTGAGGGACTGTTCTGAAGAGGTAAGGGAAGAGCCAGGATACACAGGAGTTTTTGCAGGAAAAAAAAAAGTAGTCAGAACATGAAAAGATTACTGTTAATTAAAGAAAAAAACATACATCTGAAGTTAATGAGTTTACACTTTTCTCTATATGGGAAGACACAAGGGTCTGGACTCATTGAAATCATTCCTTTGACGTGCACCTTAACTCTCTAGGGCCAGTATCCTGTTTTCTCCATCCTGAAGCCCCTCAGGGTCTACCTTGGGGAGGGTGGATGGAGGGTAACTACAGTGGCCGATGGTTTGATGGCCACAACATGCTTTGTTTACTGATTTGGCAGGTGACATTCTTTGTCCACAAGGGCTATATAAGTTAATACATGTAAGTGCCAAGAACAATGCCTGGAACATAGTACTTAGTAAATGTTATTAACATTAAAAAACATTATTTATTATGACATTAAATGTTACTCCTTTCTAGACCACCCTCCCATGGCATCTTCTGAATAATAATGTTAATGTTATTAATATTATTGTGACAGTAGACCTGTCATAAAAGATGGGAAGGAGGGTGGGGGAACATTCCAGGTGGCAGGAAGAAGAGGAGCAAAGGCAGGGAGGGAACAGTCAATATAGCTTATGCACAGGCCTCAAAGTTATTAGAGCAAAGGAGCAGCAGGAACGCTAAGACGTCAGCTGGAAGAAGCAAGCGTGAATGGGCTTAGGTTCCACACTGGAGAGAATGGAGGTGGCAGGAAAACCTCCAAAGATGTGAACTGGTCAGACTGTGTTCAGAGAGGTGAGTCACATGACCTGGAGTACAGTGGCTGGATTTAAGGGAGGTTCTAAAGTCAGGGAGACCAGTTCGAGGCCAGGAGGCAGTGAAAGAGTGAAGAGAGGAGGAAGAAGTGCCTCCCATCACCTCCATCTCCGGTGCCTCCGCCATTGTGGTCTCTCTGGTTATCCTGGAACTTGCCTTGAGAGCTCTTATCACAGACTGACTCTTACTTCACTTTCATCTCTAACTTATTTCGTGACTTAGTTCCCATCTTGTTTCCTCCACTTGTCTACAAGCTCCACAAGGACAGGGGCTTTGCCTGGGTCACTTCTGAATTTCTGTCTCCTGGTACTACCTGGTCCCTGCATACCCGACTCCAAGACCAGCCACGTAATTTGCAAGGCCAAGCACAAAATGAAAATGGGGGCCACTTATTCAAACAGCAGGGGAAACTTCCATTAATAGTACTAAAATAGGAAGTTTTTTCCTTTCTTCCATAGTCTCTCTGTCTAGACTTGCCATGGTGTTTTTAAGTCTTTTTTTCTTTCCATTTTGTTAGAAATGATTGACATGCAGCTCACTGATGGTCCCATCCAGGTCTCCTGGAGACCGTGCAGGATGCAGGACACAAACCTTGTGTGGCGTTCTAGATTGCACACCGTCCCCCGCCAGGGAGAGTCAAGTCCTGACCCCAGTACCTGTGAACACGGCCTTTTTGGAAGTAGGATCTTTGCCGATGGTCAGGTTAAGATGAAGTAATTGAAGTGGGCCCTAATCAAATGTGACTGTGTCCTTATAGAAAGGGAAATTTAGACCTGTAGACCAACATGCATAGAGGGAAGACTACACAAAGAGACACAGGAAGAAAATGGCCATCTGCAAGGCAAGAGTGAGTCTCCTGGGGCCACTGGAAGCTAGGAAAGAGGCCTGGAGCAGATAATCCGTAAGAGCCTTCAGAGAGAGCCTGGCCCCAACGACACCTTGATCTCGGACTTCAATTTCTGTTGTTCTAAGCCTCCCGGTTTGCAGTACTTTGTTACAACAATCCTAGCAAAATGCTGAAATTGGGGCTAACTGACTTACTAAGTTTAAGATGCCTTTGAAATATATATTTATTTATTTATTCATAAATGTATTTTTGAAAGAAACAAAGGGGTGTGTGTGTGTGTGTAAGAAGTGGTAAGACTATGGATAATTTTTATTTTATCTTTACTTGCCTATATTGTCTAAACATCATATCCTATAAATGTATACCTTCGTAACAACAACAAAAGCAAAAGTGATTTTGAAAGTAGATAAGTATGTTACTTACTTGTTTGATTCCTAAATGTTCAAGGGTCTGTTGATAACCTCAAAGCATCTTAAATCAGAATGTCCTGAGTTCTAGGCCCACATACTTAGCTGCTAGATGAACACGTTTACACGAATGTTCCAAACTTACCTTGAGTTCAACATGCCCAAACCAGAACTCATCACCTTTCTCTTTAAAAGTCTGCCCCTTCCTTTTGCACACATTTCAGATAATGGCACTTCCATCCATCGAGTCACTGGCCCTTGAGCAGTCCTTGATTTACCCAGTGTTTCCCGGCCACACCGAATCAGTGAGCACGACCTGCCGGTCCTGTCTTCCATGGTGCTTCCACCCCTCCACTCCCAGGGCCGCTGCCTTTGTTCAGCCCTCCTGGTCTCTCACACTGCCTCCAAGCTGCATTCCCTTCCATCCAAGTTTCTTGCATCAGCCAATCCCCACCACCATCCATATGGACACTAGTTATCTGCAAAAATGGAAATCTCGGGGGGTCATCCCTACCCACTCACAACAAGACGCGAGCCAACATTTCACGCATGACTTACATGTTGGCTCCTGCTCCCTTTTCTAGGCTCATCCCCAGCAATTCCCTGCAGGCACATTGTGCTCCAGCTACAAAAAAGCTACTCTCCTAATGGACCATATTCTTTCATGGCTAGATATGTTTGCAGATGCTGTTTCCTCTACAGGGAATGTCCTTTTGCCTTATTCTCTGATGTTCTCAGATTCAAGACTCTGACAAAATACTCTCTGAAGCCTTATCTGAGTTCTCCTGACACAGTAAGTTGATAACTATCTAGGTAAAACTAAGCACATACAATCTATTAGCATTTATGACATTTCGTTAGAACATCTGTTCCCATAATTATCTTTCCCAGAACAGAGTGACCTTCTGAAAGGGAGACCCTGTCATTCGACTTCATATCACCACAATCTAAATCATGACTTGCTCAAATCAGGTTCAACAGATGTTTGTGGAATGAAGGGAGGGAGAGAAGAAGCAGGCAGGTAGGGCTGAGTCTGATACATCTTAGATCTCAGGAAAGTGAAACTTCGAAAATCCACAGAAAACGTCAACATAATCCCACAGGGATTAAGTGAAATCATTGTAAAACTGTTGTGTGAGAGAAATGGACACTTTTTAAACAACAGCAATCTGCCAAGAGGATTCCTTTCAAAGAGAAAGAAAGTATGGTACAGTGGTAGAGCCAGGAGACTACTCCATTACCAGTTGTCCAAATGAACAAGAACTGAACCACTGAAGGCATCATTTTCCTCACTTGTAAAAAGGACAGGACTATAATGTCAGGAACAAAAGAAGGATTCTATTACCCATATGAATATTTTATATTTAATCACCATAATTCTTGAATTCTTATGCTGAGCACTGTACCAAGTGTTCTTATATGCATTCTCTAATTTAATCCTTAAAACCATGTAAAATATGTTTCATTGTACCCATTTCACAGAGGAGGAAAATGAGGCTGCTAGAGGTTAAACAACATCCAAAATTCATATTCTGGTAAGTTGAATGCTTACCTCCCTTCAGAGCTCTGCAAAAAGAGTAATTGTCATCAGATCCTCGGCAAATAACTTCTTTGCGCTCTGGAAGACTAATAGACTTAACAGATATATAGAGATTGAAATATAATTTTTTTATGTCTCTCCCTTAAAAAGAAAAAAATTTTTCATTAGCCCCTCAAATAAGATATTCTTTTATAAATAATAATTAACATTTACTGTATACTTAAAATATGCCCTGTGCTTTTCTTACATTATCTCATTTAATCATCATAACTACCTATAGTGTGAATATTATTATCCTTTTTTTGCAGATGAGAAAACTGAAGTTCTGAGACCATAATTAAATAGAATGGTCCCACAATGAGAATTATGTGTGCTATGCCTAAAAATAGAGGACCTATATTTTTGAGAAAACTATCAAATGAAAATATAAAATTTCCAGTTACAGTCACAGTTCCACTAGAAATTTCAAAAGGAAAGGAAAGGAAAGGAAGTGATGATAATCAACTCATGCCCACTTTTTAGTAGTTCTGATGAAAGATTTCTTGGAGAATGAGAGTGAACCTTTCGATTAAAAATTAAATAAATGAACTATTATTTCCTCATGATCTTCCTATTACCAGTGAACATGGAAAATTCAAGGAAAAAAATGAGTTTTGCTCAACTTTTTTACATTATTCAGTTGGCCAGATTTGCAAAAGATACACAGCCTTTTTTAATAATGAAAATAATCATTGAAGTTATTGTCCTAGTAAGTCACCATGACTCACTGTAGCTATAATTCAAAAAAAAACAACTTTTCCTTCTTTAACTTAAACTTTGTTATTCTTAACAGAACTGCCAGCTCCTTCCTCAAAACCTTCTCCTTCCCTTGGTGCTGGAGCTCCTACTTCCTTCTGTTGTCCTCCAATCTTTCTGACTGCTTCTCCCCAGTCTAGCTCATTGACTCATCCTTCTTAGGGTTCTATCCTCAGTTTTTCTCAATTTTCACTGTGCACACTCTCCCCAGCTTTAAATACTACATAGGATAATGACTCCCAAATCGTCACCTTTAGTCTCAATCTTTCTCCTGCAGACCTGTCCCCTATATGCACTCAATACCTCTACTCAAATGCTGCTTATTACCACACCCAACAGATCCAAAATTGATTTCCTCACCTTCATCACCAAATCGGCACTAGAAATCCTAATCCTGGCAAATCCTACTAGCCTCCTTTCATCCCTGTTACCACTATCTTAATGCAGGTCCTCATTACTCTGAACCTAAAGTACCACCAAACTTTCTAATCTCTCCACTTCTCTACTTGCAAGGTAAAGCGTGGAGAAGAGGCACATCATAGAATCTGTTTCAAACAGTGGTCCCATCGCCCACTCCGTGGACTTTGACTTGAACCTCTCCCAAGTCAGGGATGTGCACAGAAGTTGAAGAGCTGACTTCACAAAGGATGCCTTGAGATATGGGCACACAGTAGTACTGCTACGGTGTCCACCATCAATGCAGCACAAGGGACTTTCTTGCATTTCTGCATGGAACACACTATGATTCTAGTCTTCAATGACTCCAAGAAAGGAGGTGCTGCTTTGACACCTCAACAGTTTATATCTGGATAAGCTTCTTGCACTTTGGATATCACTGTGGTAACATCAGGCCCATGAACAAGGGTCAAAGTGACGTACCACTTGCATGGCTCAGCAGGCCAGAGATATCAATGTAGGTGTTGGAGTGAGAGACAAGAAACATGGCGGATGTCAGGGGTTAGCAAAAAGAAGACTGTTTTTGAGCTCATCTAAGACAGCTCCAGGAACTTTTGGGAATAACTTTGAGGAAGGCTTATTTGTCAATTAGTTAATAGTAGCATATAATTTATTAGCAAGGCTATAAATTCTCAAAATAAATCATTTCCATTCCAAAACTATTTTTGGTCCAAGATTGTACTTAGAGCTCTTACTGAATTTAAATGGAGATAGGGCCATAAAAATAAGGTTGATTTCTATGAATATGGCCAACATTTTATACAGATGTTCTAGTATATTCTAGGAAAACTCAGGTCATAACCACAAAACATTATAAAAAATATGACCACATAATTATTTTGTTACTGAACTAATATAATATTAAATAAATGCCGCATTTAGTGAATAATTAAGGTATTTGTTGTGGCAATGCAAGTGTGCTACTCAAACCTCCCTTCCAAAGAATCCGCTGGGTGGAAGGTAGTTGGCAGACAGCCTCCAGCTACTGCACTCTCAGATCCATCCCAGCACTCAACCAGAGGCCAAACTCTCACAGTCTGCTCCTATAGTGACCAAGCACTGCGAGGACACTAGAGGTAGCCAACTCCTGCCTGTCATGGACACTTGTGACAGGCAATCTTTGCTCTAAAGCTCCCTATTGACCTGGCTGAGAGTGTCTCAGGCATGCCTTTTGGTCTGATGAGCATCCTACCAAATTTTCCTTCCTTCTTTCTCATTTCAAAGGTTTCAGACCTACACCTCAATCTGAGTCCTCTCCTTGCCTGCTCTGGCTTCCTCTTTCTTTTGTTGTTTACAAGCATTTCCCTCCAAAGATCTCTTGTATGTCTAATTCCTTCTTGATATCTTCTTTTCAGAGAACCCTAAGTGTTGTTAGCTAACTGTGCCCCTTGCTAGCTTTGAAAATACAAGAAGCCATGTTGAAAAGCCCCATATGGCAAGGAACTGAGGGCTGGCCAATAGCCAGCCAGGAACTGAATACTGTTAACAACCACATGAGCTTAGAAGTGTATTTTCCCCCATCTGAGCCCTCAGAAGAAACCCTAGCCTTAGCCAACACCTTGATTTCAACCTTGTGGGAGACCTCCTGAAGCTGACACAGCTAAGCCATGCCCAGACTACTGATACACAAAGACTATGAAATTAAAAATATGTACTGTTTTAAGCCATTAAGATTGTGATCATTTGTTACATGGCAACAGAAAACAAATATACATAACATTTAGAACACAATCATTCACCATTGATATTTCCGGAACCCTTTAAACTGATCTACAAAAACAAAACTTTGGACTTACTTGGAATGAAGTAAAGATACAAGTATCCATTGCTTCCCTTCAATGTTATACAGGGTTTAGTACTTATTGAAATAGGGAACTTCTTGTCATCTAAATGGAATAAAGAAAATGTCAATAAATTATTATAAATCATTTCCAGTAAGTAGGGTATTGTGAATGTCAGCCCCCTAAAACTACCTTTAGCATTAAAATTTTATAAAGAGAAAAACTGAGGGCAGTTAAAAATATCTCCATCCCCAAAGGAGTGACATCAGCAAGATGGAAGACTAGGAAGTCCTCCTCTGCCCCACAAACATATCAATTCAGCGATAATTCATGGACCATTGTGAGAAATCAGAAACCAACTGCAAGTTTCCTGCGTCCCAGGAGACTGCAAAACCAGACTCACTGACTCAGTAGGGAGACTCAGGACGCCCTCTCACCAGAGACACTGCTCCTGGCACAGCCTAATTAGGAAGAGATCTCCTATTCCCCAATTTCACTTAGAAGGAAAGAGGTTGCTTCATGCAGAGTCTCAAATTTTCCAAAGGGGATCCCCAAAGGACTGAAAAACAGAAAGTCTGAACGGATCTATAAGTAGTATGGAGATTGCATCAGTAATTTAAAATTTCCCAAAGAAAAGTCCCAGACCAGCTGGCTTCACAGGTGAATTCTACCAAACATTTAAATAAGTACACCAGAAACTGACACAACATTGTAAACTGACGATACTTCAATTTTTTTTTAAAAAAAAAAGAAGATTTGAAGAAAAAAAAAAAGAAATTAACCCCAATCCTTCTCAAACTCTTCCCAGAAAATGAATAGAAGGGAATACTTCCAAACTCATTTTATGAGGCCAGCACTACTATAAAAGACACCACAAGAAAAGAAACTGTAGGCCAGTATTCCTGATGAATTTAGATGCAAAAGTCCTCACAAAATGTTAGCAAACTGAATTCAACAGCACATTAAGAGGAACATACAGCATGAGTAAGTGGGATTTATCCCTAGGATGCAAGGACAGTCCAACATACAAAAATCAACTAATGTGATATGCCACATTAATAGAAAGAAGAAAAAAAATCACATGACCATCTCAAGAGATGATAAAACTCAACACCCTTTCATGATAAAAACTCTCAACAAACTAGAAGTAGAGGAAATGGCCTCAGCATAATGAGGGCCATCTATGAAAAGCCCATAGTTAACACCATATTCAACAGTGAAAAACTGAATGTTTTTCCTCTAAGGTCAGGAGCAAGGCAAGGATAACCATGCTTAACATAGTACTGGAAGTCCTAGCCAGATCAATTAGATAAGAAAAATAAATAAAACCACCTGAATAAAAAAGGAAGAAGTAAAATTTTCCATTTGCAAATGATATACCTTTATATCTAGAAAACCCTAAAAACTCCATTAAAAACTGTTAGAACTAATTTAAAAATGGAGTAAAGTTGCAGGATACAAAGTCAACATACAAAAAAACCAGTTGGACTTCTATACACTGACAATGAACTGTATGAAAAGGAAGTTAGGAAAACAACCCCATTTACAACAGCACCAAAAGAATAAAATACCTAGGATTAAGCTTTTCTTAACTCCCCCACACTGCCCCACTCCCACAGTCACAAACACACTGTCATTCATAGTACTTGATCATCTTTGAATGGTCGTTCAAAAATCTCTACTACAATTATTTGTTTATATGTCTGTCTTCTTCATAAAAATAGCACAAGCCTTGAGGGCAGGAAGCATGTCTCATTCATGTTTCATGTCTCTGGCACACAGCACACTGTAGACTATAAATGTGTATTTAGCATTAATTATGTGCCAAACATTGCTCTAGGCACTAGAGAAACAATGAACAAAGATAGTCATGGGCCCTGCTCTTGATAAATGTACATTCTAGTAAAAAAAATCAAGCAAGGTCATGAGTTAAAGATTGAGTGTACCGTGGGGATAGAGGAATGGGGAGGTGGGGGGAGTTAGAGATACCTCAACTGCATTACTCAGTGAGTGACAGGAAGGAACCAGCCCTCTGGTCATTGGAGAAAGAGTGTTTTAATCAGGAGTGCAGACTCAGAGGTGAGAATGACTTCAACATGTTCAAGCAACAAAAACAGACACATACACATGTACACACAAAGACCATTCTGTGAAATATATGTAATAGGCAAACTCACAGAAAGAGAAAGAGCAGAGGTTACCAGGGACTAAGGGGAGGGAGAAATGGGAAGTTATTTTTTAATGTGTGCTGAGTTTCTGTTTGGGATGATGACAGGTTCCGAAAATGGGTAGTAATGATGATTGCACAGCATTCTGAATGTACCTAATGTCACTGAATTATACACTTAAAAATAGTTAAAAGGATGGACCTAGAAACTATTATGCTAAATGAAGTAAGTCAGACAGAGAAAGACAAATATCACTTATATGTGGAATCTTAAAAAATAATACAAATGAACTTACTTACTAAACAGAAACAGACTCACAGACATAGAAAACAAACTTAATGGTCATCTAAGGGGAAAGGGGGGAAGGATAAATTAGAAGTTTGGGATTAACATACACACACTAGTATATGTAAAATAGATAAACAACAAGGACATACTATATAGCCCAGAGTACTATATTTAATACCTTGTAATAACCTATAATGGAAAAGATTCTGAAAAAGGATATACATATAGATATATAGATATATATATATATCTATATGTATAACTGAATTACTTTGCTGTATACCTAAAACTAACACAACACTGTAAATACTTCAATTTTTTTAAATGGTTAAAAGGGTAAATTTTATGTTTGTTATGCTGGTAATACAAACAGTAACAATAGTACCAATAAAGGCCAATATAAATGGAAAATAATGAGGGAGGGTGGGAATCATAGGAATCAGGGACCATCTTGAAGGGGCTTGGAGATCTTGGTATGAAGTTGGGATTTCACTCTAATTAAAGTGAAAAGCCATTCAAGAGTTTTAAGCAATGGAGTAATATTTTCTTACGTTTTTAAAAGGTGTCTTTGGCCTCTGTGGCAATAACAGATTGTATGGGGGCAAGAACTGAAGTGGAGAGAGGACAGTTTAAGAGGATGTTACAGAGGCCAGAGAGGAGATGAGGGTGGCATGAGTGGTCAGCAGAGGACAGTGAAAAGTAGTTGGCTTTAGAATATATTCTGGAGATAATGAAAATAAGAATCACAGAGAAACTGAATGTGGATAATAAGGGAAAGAGATAACGAAGGATTCCTCTGGTTTGGGAATTAAGCAAATGATGAGATAGGGGAGATTTAGGAAGTAATAGATTTGGAAAGGGGTGTAGGTCAATAGCTCTAGCTCCAAATGGCCATTAGACTTCCCAGTGGTTATGCCGAGTTTGTGGAATAAATGAATGAATCCCGCAGATGTGCCCAGTTATCCCTCCTACTACACATAAACTAGACAAAAGCCAGAAGTTCCTTGAGGATGCAGCTACATCTTACATAACCTTTGCATTCTCAGTATTCCCCAGCATAACGACTAAGCCTAATGCCTGTTAAAGACTTACTAAACTGAATTAACTTCAACTGACTTGACTAGACTCTGTAGAGCAGACAGGACTTTTGATGGACCGCAAAAGGTTTGTATAAAACAGAAAGATGGACAAGAATGTTTCCGGTTAGAGAATAGTAGAAGTGTGAATAAAGACCAGTAAAGAGGGTGGTCTGCTTGGGGTAGGGGGGACACTCCAGATGCCAAGACACACATGCTTAGCTGGGCAGACCAGATGCAACCACACATCCAATTGATCAGCAAATCTCATCGACTCCATCTCCAGAGTATTTCCAGACTCTGATCCCTCCTCATCACCTCCATTGGTCTGAGTCACACTCTGGTCCGAGTCGCCATTTTCTCACTCACCTGAATTATTGTAACAGTCTCACAACAGGTTGCCTGCTTCCACTTCTGCCCCCTTATGGGGTATTATTAACACAGAAGCCAGACCAAGCTTGGCTCACAGTAAAGCTAAGTCATGCCCTGACCTACAGGGCCCTCACCCCCACCGCCCTTTCCCTCTACGACCTCGTCTTCTACTACCTCCCCTGCACTCACTCCGCTGCAGCCACACTGGCCTCTTTGCTACCCTGCAGCACACCAGCCGTGTTCCCGCATCAAGGGTGGTGTGCGGCTCTTTCCTCCCCGCCTTCCCCTAGACACAGGCATGGCTCACTCCCTCAACCATTCCAGTCCTTGCTGGATGTCTCCTCCGTGAGGCCTTCCTTGGTCACCCTAATTTAAAACGCAACGCCTAGCCCCGTCTCTGCCCTCTGTCCCCTACTCTGCTTTATTCTTTTCTCACTGGGGTCACCACCATCTGACATGCTGGGTATCTTACTGATTGAAACTCCCCCAGGGTGGGGACTTTTATTTTGCTGCTTGCTCACTGCTATATAATTTCCTCGGTGCCCAGAAGAGGCGCAGGCCAGATGCTCAGTGAATATCGATTTAATTAAATAATCCACAAATTCTTTGAGTTTCAGGACTACCTTTGGCCAAAAAAAGGTTAGAACTGAGTCTGACAATTCTAGGTTACAGGATAGTGTGTGTCCAGGGCTCTGTGGACTGATTCACTCACACACCTACATTTTCTGCCTTTTCCAAAGCTGGAAAATAAAACGGCCAATTCTTGCCATTTCTATATGTTATGGGCTGGACTATGTTCCCCCTAAATTCATATGTCGAAGTCCTAACCCCCAGGACCTCAGAATGGAACTGTATTTGGAGATAAGGCCTTTAAGAGGCCATTAGGGTGGGCCCTAATCCAATATGATTGGTGTCCTTAAAAGGTAAGGAGATTCAGACAGACAGAGAGTCACCAGAAATGAGCGCACACAGAGAAAAGGCCATATGAAGACACGGCAAGAAGGCGGTCGTCTGCCAGCCAAGGAGAGAGTTCTCAGAAGGAAGCCACGCCTGCTGACCCTTGCTCTCAGGCTCCTAGCCCCCAGAACTGTGAAGAATAATCTTCTGTGGTTCAAGCCACCTAGTCTGCGATGGTTTGCCATGGCAGCCCTGGCAAACGAGCATACCGTCTATGCCAAGTGGAAATCATCTTCAGGGAAAGGACTGGATCAAAAGGATTGTTTTCACCAACATCCGGACAATAATACCCGGAGCAATCAGTGCTTGCCACACACGACGTGTTTCCATCTTGACCAGGATGGATTCTCTAAGGCAGGGAAAGGACAATGTAGTGTTGGGGGGTTGGGGGGCGCAAACAAGGTCTTGCTGTAGCCCTGAATCCCACTTGCTCCCCACGGTCCCTCCATCCGTGGGGCAGCAGGAAAGGACCACAGAATTTCTCAGGGTTAGAGAGAAACAGGCAAGATCCCTCCTCAAAACTCAAAAGACAAATTGAGTTACTGTTACTAGAAGATTAAAAGCTAAATCATAATATGAAGTGTTATATAAATAAAGGCCATAGGAAACATAGCAGAGAGAAGGTGGCTCAATCGACATGTGGTGCAAAGGAGAGGAGAGAAGAGGGCCTCGTGCAGTGACGAGGTCCTGGAACAGGGAAATGCAAACGGACCTTGTGGGATGGAGAATTCCAGAGAGAAGCTGAGAGGGAATTCAGCACAATCACAAACAGGAAAAAAGCCATGAGTGTGAGACTGATCCTCAGAAGCAACTTCATAGTAACATTTGCCAGAGTGTGTTTGCAGGACCATAAACACATACTCAAAGACTAAAACAAAGTAACACTGAAAATTGGGGGATTAAATAGGTTCCTTTGTCACAGAACTTCTCAGAACTCAAAGTACGTCTGTAAATCCCCCAAATGGTTAGACCACAAACCCTTTGTCCCAAGAGAATCTCAAAGAATTAGTGCTTTCAGAGGCACTCCCTTAGGCTTTCCTGATGTTGCCGGTGGGTAGAAAAGACCAGCCAAGCCATGGTGAGGAACACAGTGGAAAGTACCAAACCAAAACAGCAGTCAAACCCCAAAGCCATCCTTTCAGACCAGCAGATATTTGTAGAGAAAGAGGGGGAGACAAAAAGAAAACAAGACAAACCCAGAAGAAGAAGAAAAAAAAAGTCCAACCATTTAATAGTTAGACTGTTAAGAGTGTGGCTGGGTTTTTGTTTTGTTTTGTTTTGTTTAAGTAATCGATTTTATTGTTTCTAAGTGGCTCTGTGCTAAAAATTTTACCTTACAACAATTCTTGAGAAGTAGGTTTGAAAATCACTTTCATTTTATAGATAAAAATGCTGGGGCACAGAGAGGCTAAGACTTTGCTCAAAGTCACACAGCTATTAACTAACAGAATCAGACTTATATCCAATTCCAAGAGCCTTCAGAAACCACAGCTTGAAACAAAGTGCACCTGTTACCTACCCAAACCTGTGCTGAAAAAAAAAAACCAAAAAAAACAACAAAAAAACCCCAAAATCAGAGCCTGGAGCAACAATCAGTTTCAGGAAGCAGCTAGGACAGCCCTACCTCTTCAGGAAGAACCGGTCAGTCTTAGGGCTGAGGCAAAATCTCGGAAGCAGACAACTTTGCCAAAACTAGGAAGCTTCTGAAACTGGGTTCAAGGTAGAGACAGCTGACCACAGGGAGCAACAGAAGCCCTTGGAGGGCAGGACATACAGCATAGTTCAGAGACTTGTGAAGGATGGAGAAAATCCACACAGGGCAGTAACCAGACATCACTTTTACTGCCAGCAGCAGCCAGAACACACAGTCATTTCCTGTGTCCCGGCGACAGCAGAGGAAGGTTCTTATGAAAACTTACCCTCCAAGTAGTAGACAATACAAGTACCTGCCTGCCTTTGCTCTTGGACTTACCACAGTAGTTGTACCAAATGCTTGCATCCGAGGAGTTGCAGATCCAATGTTTCTCCCCAGGTTCAGTAAAAATGGAAGAAAACAGGGTGGAAAAGAGCATCAATGGGAACATGATTCAAAAATCTCCAAACCGACAAAAATGCAAGGGGAATCAGCAACTAATCATCAGAATCTTCCCCTTTAATAAGTAGAAAAAATTTAACTTAGTCATTAGTCACATGATTTCTGAGTTCCTATCCAACTGTTTCCTCTTTTGAATGTGTGTGTGTTTAATATTTGAGCATTTCCTCCGAGGGGACAGGAACATGATTTAGAATGTACTCTTTCCAAACATGTGACACATATGAGAACACAGAGCTTTAAAAACAAAACTAGGTACTTCCCAGCCAATAGTAACAAAACCAGTCTGTATGTCTTTAGAATCTCAAGACTTTATCTGCATTGCCATTCCCTCCCACAAGTTTTTTTCTTTCTTTCTTTCTTTCTTTCTTGAGCATTTTTATAGGTTTTATTAGAGATTTAGATTTAAATCTAAAGCTTTAAATATCTAAATATTTAAAATGGAAGTTAGGACAATATTTAGAGGGGAGAGAGGTTGTCTCTGTTTTTGTGGCTATTTTTGACATGTTTTCAAAGTGGTTGGGATTCTTTCCCTGTAAATTTTCTACTCCTGCCAGCATGTTTGCCTAACTCAGTTACTATTGAATGTTCTCCCTGTTTCCATCTGGACCATCCTTTTCTCTAAGACTCCTTCTAAAGATTAGTCAATGAGGATCTTTGGCCAAATGTCAGACTTCATAGATCTCAGGGTAAGAAGTTCGTTCGAAAAGCTTCTAAAAACGCTCTCAGGCACACACTGTAAGTGACAACTTAAGACGCCCAGAGACTTGGGGTCAGAGCTGGACTTCCATGCATGGAAACTGGGTTCCTCCTACAGCCCTCCACCCTCTGCCAACTTCCCAGGCCTCGTCCATGACCCACTCAGGAAACAGACCAGGACAGGGACATCCTACCAAGCTGGGCACAGGAAGCATACCTGATACTTTGATGAACAATCAAACAATCATGAATAATTCATGTACACGAACCATCTCGGCCATGAATGGGGGACAAACATGGCCTCAGGTGAGCTCGTGGCATGTTTCATGCCTCAGAACACAGAAACAATCCCCTCCTGCCTCACGTGCTCTTAAAAAGCTGCTCCCCTCCACCACTAACACTCAGCCCTTTCCTTGGCCCTTTGCTGTTTTTCTGCTTCAGTCCCAGGCTCGCTGTCTGAGCTCTGGCTTTTCTTATAGACTCCATCCCCCTCCTTCCCCCCAATACATGGAACTTACACCCTCAAAGCATATTTAGTTCATTGGTAATAATGGAAAACAGGAGCTGGCTAGGTCTTAGAGATCAGTTAATGCGGTGATTTTGAAACAATGTCCGATGAGCCTTGGGATTCCTCAGTGGCCAGCAACAGAGGCCACTGGGCTCGCATACGAGTGTGTCCCACAGGTTCTTGACACAAGTCTCATGGCCCAGAGAGCCACACCTACAGATCTGAACTGAACAGGCGCATGCAAACTGTTTCTGCTCAGCAACAGTTTCAGCTAACGGGTAGAGCCCAGCTGGATGAATCCCCAGACACAGGGCACTAGCTGTAGTTCTGCTTTGTGGGCAGAGGTCCCACCAGGCTTGGGAATGCACTCATTCTGGCAAACTCTGGGTCCAGGGAACACTTTGAGCTGTAATAGTGAAATGGTCATTATTTCATGTCTGAAATGTATTTCATTTCAAAACTGTTACTCTGTTTTAGAGAAGATGTTTATCCTTTAGGTGCTTGGCTATCTGAAATCCATTAGGGGACATAGTTCAGGGTTAGTAGCCAAAAATGGCATGGAGTCAGGACCTTAAAATCTACAAGTTTAGAAGAAAATAAACATATTTGTAAAAGTTTTTACTGAAGAATTGTACTACTTCCCAATTTTTTAAAAGGTAAAAATCCATGGGGGCTAAGGGTGGTAGGGAAATGGGGATCTGTTCAAGGGGTATTGAGTTTCAGGTTTGCAAGGTAAAAAAGTTCTAGGTGGGAGGGCACAGCTCAAGTCATAGAGCACATGCTTAGCATGCATGAGGTCCTGCATTCAATCCCCAGTACCTCCTCTAAAAATGAATAAACAAGTAAACCCACTCCCCCCCAAAAAAGTTCTAGAGAGTTGTTCCACCACAATGTAAATATAGTTAACATTACTGAACTGCATGCTTAGAATTGATTAAGATGGTTAATTTTATATGTTTTTACCACAATTTTAAAATATATTTTAAAAGGTGGGGGCCAGTGGGGAGAAGAAAAATCCATGAATGCTTCTAGTGGTCTCAAAACACCATTTCCCACTAAAAGGAACAAAGACCCTAGAGAAATTGCCATTTCCAGGCCTCAGGCAACAAATGTACAAGATGAGCCTAGAACAAGATATTAGATCACCAGTTTCAGGACAGTCCCATTGACCAAAGATGGGTTTTCTATTGCTGCTGTAACAAACCACCACAAACTTAATGCTTTAAAACAGTACAAATGAACTCAATGGGTTAAAAATCAAAGTGTCCACATAACTGGCTCTTCTGGGGGACAAATCTGTTTGCCTGCCTTTTTCAGCTTGAGAGCTGCAAACCTGGCATTCCTCCACCTTTAAAGTTCAGCACTCCCATCTCCACATCCAACATCACATTGCCTTCTCCCCTGATCCCCTGCCTCCCTCTTATAAGGACACTGTGATTACACTGACCCATTTGGATGATCCAGGAAAATCTCCCCAACTCAAGACCCATCTATAAAATTCCTTTTGCCATATAAGGTAATATTCACAGCTTCCAGGCATGAACATTCTGGGGGACCATTATTCAGCCAACCTATAGACTATATGAATGTTAATAAGATAGTAGCAGCAATTAATTGAAATACATCAAATATATTTAAATTCATGAGCTCATAATTTTTTTAAAGTCTAATTAATCATCAGATGATGCTAGGAAACCAACTCTATTTTGAAAACTGATAAACAGAAAGAATTAAGCATTTGTCCTGACTTTTCTATAGTAAACTGAACTACTGGTAACCAAATAGTAGAGACAGGCAAATTTCCTTTGCCTTCTCGTACTCTTTTCTCTACCTTTAGAAGTATTTCAGCTAATACATGGACAAGGAATAATAGAATATAACCATTTCACAGCATCTAATGAATTAGTGAACTTGGGCACTGAGCATCAATGGTTGCTAATATCACAGAGAGACAGAAAGACATTGTGTACCTCTTGATGAACGCTGTGGGAGCCAACCTCCAAGATGACTCCCAATGATCCTTACTTCTTGGTATGCAAATCCTTGTCTAGCTCCCCTCAGCAATGAAGACAGGTGACTGTGTAACTAAGAAAATAATGCACAACGACAATGTGCAGCTTCCAAGGTAGATTATAAAAAACATAGTGCCCTCTACCTCACTTTCCTGGATCGACTACTCTGGAGGAAACAAGTAGCCGTAAAGAGAGATCCACGTGGTAAGAAACTAAGGCCTCCTCCCAAAAGGCCAGTACCAATTTATCAGTCATGTGAATGAGACTTTGGAAGCAGTTCCGGCTGCCCCCCCCCCACCCCCGTCCAGCCTTCAGATGACAGCAACACCAGCTGATATCTTAACTGCAGTCCCATGACAGAACCCCAGCCACATCCACTCAGCTAAGCCATTCTCGACTACCTGACCAACAAACACAGTGCAATATTACAAATGTTTGTTGATGTTTTACACCACTAAGTTTCAGGGGCAATTTGTTATGCAATGGTAGGTAACTAATACAAACACATCTGCTATGAATCAGTCTTGTCCAAAATAACTAAACCTCAATATGATGAAGCTGCACGTCCAACTACCAATTTATAGGAAATACAATAGACAGAGAAACATGTTCAATTACAACTTGGAGATACAATCAGAATATCTAGACCATGAAAATACATAAAGGATCAAAACCAGTTTCTTCAACAGATGGCTTGCAACGGGGAAAGTGAAAGAAATGGAGGGGCCCGTAGACTAGAGAAGTCTTAAAAGGCCATTTCAAAAATTGGTGTGAATGAGGTGGGAACTTTACTTAGATCTTAATCCAAACAAAATTGTGGAGAAAAAAATTATAAAACAATTGGAAATTTGAATAGACTGGATATTTGGTAACATTGAGGTAGGGGCAGCTTAGATATTATAATGTATTGTAGTTATATATTTTTAAGTCCTTATCTTGTAGAGTTTCAAAGCTAAGTATTTAAGAAAGAAATATGATGCCTGGGATTTGCTTCCAAAATAAAGTAGAGGGCAATTGGTTGGGGTCTAGATGAAACAATATTGACCACATATTGGTAATTGTTGAATCCAGGTAAGAGTCATGTTGTGGTGAAAAAAATCAGAATTTTACCTAACAAATGTGTCCACACTAAGGCTGTCATTCATACCTAACAGCCGTTTTGTTACTTTTGCTTCCAAAAGCTGAAGCCTTTGGAAATCTATATGGAGAAAAAGATTACATTTTATTGTCAAGGGGTCTATTGTCTGATGTAACCCGGATGTCAGGTTTGGATCTCCTTGCCTTTTGAGACTCACATAAAACTAACTCAATGTCCTTTCCGTGTAGTTAGACTCATCACCTTCTCAATCTTTCCACAGTTACTCTGCCAGGGAGAGGGTACTGAAGCGGCATGGGAGACGTGCGTGTATTTCTCCTTACCTTAGTCAGAGTTGTTTCTGACTTATTTCAGTGACCATCATGTTATCCTATGCACGCTGATCCTTTCACTCCAGAGCATGCCCTTGAGAAGTCATCTTTCTCACGTGGACTTTTAAGCCTCTTTTCTTTTCCCAAAACCACCAAGTTGTCTTCTGAGGAATTATTCTGATACTAATAAAAATTGGCTTTTCACTCCACTGCACAGGTGACAAAAATGGTTACACGGATACAGGACATTTAATGAAAGAGATATATGTACTCAAAACAAGTCATGAGAGATGACCCTTAGGAAAAAACTGCAAGATGTTAACAACGCTGTTTTTTGGTTGTTGTTTTTTCCTGTCTTATTTATCTAATGATTTGATGAGTATTTGATTATGGAATAATCTTTTGCTAGAAAGATGCAAATCACATTAACTGCTAAAACAGCAACAGATGTATGTCTAGGGGACAGAGGACAGAAGAGCAGGCAGGCAGAGGCCCAAGCTGAGGACAGAGAAGGCGTCAGCTTGTTCAT